GGTAACTCTTGAATAAAGAAAAAAAAAGTGAAGTCTTCTTTCTCTTGTTCTTCGAATACCTTGATGATTATTTCAACACAGACTAAACCACATATAGTATAATAGCCAACTGTAGTGCAACATTGCACATGTAGTCATGGCCACCTTTCGTGCCATGCTGATCTCACACTCTGTGGAGTGTGCGTGAGGAATAGGTACTGCTGTCATAATTTGGTGTGTACAGGTGTTTTACACAATGTGGGAATAGTCATTATAGCACTTTACAAGTGCTTCTTCATTCAGTGCTCTGTGCCTGGTCCAATACGTATAGAGATACAGCACAGCAAATGTTAAAGAAAAAGCAAAGGTGTGAAATGCATAAGAAAACAAAAGCTTTTTTTGTAAAGTAAATATGTGACACATTCACGCAGTTGCAGTACCAGAAATATTGCATTCCAAACAATTTGCACCTGACTATATTTATTCAATCTCTGCTACCATATGCGAACTGAGCAGCAAATACTATTGCTACATAAGAGTAAAGAAGTTGATTTACTTGTTTGCAGCCTGCTTTCACGGAATACATTTTGAAATATGAAACGCTCATATGGTGCTGCACTATCCGATTACATCAGGAGGAAGCTGTGAAGTGACTAGTAAAAGTGTGCATTAAAGATAAGATCGCAACTTAAAGAGTTGGAGAATGCTTCACTTTGTTACAGAAACATCTGGATAGTATTGTATCAACAGAAGATGAGCAGACTGTCGAGAAGCACACAAAATCTATGCAGCAAGAAATGAAAAGTGCGACACCATCTGTGGATAAAATCATTGACCCAATGACCCGGATATTTCATGCTCAGCAACACTGGGTCAAAGATTCAAGTCCATCGATGTAGGAAACACAGCAACAGTATTAGGCGCTTGAAAAACCTGAAGCTGGCAAGTTTCAGATGCTGTGTATCTCGCGGTATCAAAACTACTATACTTTCCTGCATCTGTTATTTCAGATCTTTCACGAGTTCAAATTGCTTGGTGGGACGCCATCAATGGAAACTCCTGTGGATGCAGCACAGTAGCATATTGACACAATATTAAACTTGATGAAGAAGAAGATGGAGTCAATAACTTCCCAGCTCGTTGGAATGGCCGAAGGAACCAGTGAGGATGCTAAAAAATGTACCAACAAAAGGGCTTTTCCAGCACTTAGAGAGTATTTCAGGTGTATGTAACACATATTTATATTGCAGTGCTGACAACGTTTGCCTTCCTCACGGTTCTTCCCCGCACCGTGAAAGAAAAATCATCGTCATTCCTCAAACACACAATCTCTCATTGTCAAAGCTCTATGATGATTTCTACAGTTCTCTAGTTTGTAATACCATAACGTGATGTGGTCTCATTAAAATTGTTTGAGGCCTATGTTTCCCATAAGGGCTGCAGCTGCCACATGGGAAGATCGAACTGTACCAGTTCTGCAGCTTTTTTTTTTCTCCCTTTCAAGAATCTTTTAAGGGTGAAAGAGCATCTTTGCACTTTCTGGAGTCATAACAAAGCTGAAGTATTGTATGCACAATACTTTTTTATTACCTTGGTTATTGCATAATTCTATAAAGTACTGCTTACTTGTTTTTGAATTGTGCATGTAAATTGAACGTGCCGCCCTTCTCTAGAGCACGAAGCTTTGCTATATACAGAAAATCATCTAAAAGACATGACAGCAGGTTCACACAGCCATGTGCATTTCATGAAAGTGTGCAGCCAACTTGAGCTTCTTCTGCTCTACACTTGAGTGAACTCTACACTGCGGCTGCGAGTAGTGAATTATTTCGCTGTGCTAATATCCATGATGTCTGTTTGTATTTAGTCCACTTTGAATATACTTTTTATTTACAATACTGCCGGACTATCACCATTAAGCGATAGTCCAGCACTATTATCTTGGTTATTGCATAGGTTTGAAAAATAGTGCTTACTTGTTTTTGAATTGTGCATGCAATTTGAATGTGCCACCCATCTCTAGAGCCCGCATCTTTGCTATATATAGAAAATCATCTAAAAGACATGACAGCAGGTTCACACAGCCATGTGCATTTCATAAAAGTGTGCATCCAACTTGAGCTTCTTGTTTCCCATGCTTCGAGTGAACTGTATATTCTGGCTGTGGGTAGTGAATTATCTCACTGTGCTAATATCCATGAAGTCTTTGTTTGTATTTAGTCCACTTTGAATACATTTTTTTTTACAATACTGCCGGACTATCGCCCTTAAGCAAAAATCCAGCTCCATTACCTTGGTTATTGCATAGTTCTAAAAAATACTGCTGGCTTGTTCTTGAATTGTGCCTGAAATTGCGCCTTGAATTATGCCTTGAATTGTGCCTATATTAACTAAACGAAACGATACATCAGAAACGCACGACCCACGGGTCAGGAGCTTCGCCCCTAAAACATTTTTCTGGACATATTATTTGTGACTATGTACACGTCATCGGCAGTAACAAGGTGTGAATCCCCTATAGGAAAGGCCTGCTCTCGCTGCAGATGCGGTGCCAACGCTGTTACCGGACGTGCCGGCGTATATTTCTAAAGTGCTTGTAAGACAAGACCGAAGAGAAAGCGCCGCAGTGTTCCTTCATTCGAATCAGTGAAAAAGTAAGATTGTCTTGCGCCAATAAGCATGAAGAAAGCTTGGTCGAAGACCAAAATTCTGACCCGAAGGCAAAGCCTGTCGAAAATGACGAAGCAAATTACGTGTATCAGGTGACGTGCAGACCCTAGCCGACTGCCTTAGTATTTGTTTCTTCTATGTCTTTATATCATTTTTGAATTTGCATATTTACTCCTGTTGTCCTGACATTATGCGAGAATTCAGTGATTATGTAAAATTTGCTTGAAATATATGTTTTCCACTAGCTTTTAAATGTTCATGGCTTTTAAAATGCAATAAGTGGGAAGTAAACTGCCTTTTGACATATTTTACTAGTGACAATTACTTGTGCTTCCTTGAAAGCTATCTCTATTTGATATTTTCTTTGATTTGTTCACATCCACAGGAGAAAAGCTTTGATATTTAGTTTGGCAAACTAAATTAATTTTTAATGAAGTGTTGTTAAGATGAATAAGTGGTCTAGCATAGAGTTTTAAGCGTTAAATGTGGTAGCGGCGTTGGAACGCGTGTGCGCATGCATGCACACACTCACACACACACACTATTGTCTCTCCAATCACTAGCCAGCCTTCGCTTCTCAGTGTTGACCTAAGTTGGGCCACAAGAAAAAGCCACAGCACAAATGCACTCTGGTTCTTAGCTTTAGTTTCATCTATCTCAAACTTTTGCTTACGGCCAAAAACACCGCCACCGACACCGGAGTTTCCGCGAAACGAATTTTTCAGCACTATCGAATTAAAATTATTTTATTTGTCATATCATTACACACTTTTTGATAATTTGAAACAGCATGTCCTTTCATAAGTACTATAATATTTATAAGTTACATGTTTTAAAATAATGTGCACAATTTTTACAAGCACTTTTCTGTGCAAGTTATGGCAAAAAGAAAAATGCATGCGAAAGTTTTGCCTTCACGTTTAAAGAGAACCACAGCAGTCAGGTAAATTACTCATGTGGTTCACATTGCTGAAAATGACAAGATGAAAAGCCTTTGGCAGTGCTGAAATGACCACCAGGCAGCTATATGGTGTTCACGCACGGCCCATCAGAAGAAAAAAAAAAACGTTTTTGGCATTGCACTGCGCTGTACCGGTTTCACCGCACCACCACCTTGTGGTATATCGTGGTAGCCACTGTCGGGCCACCAGCAGTTTCACCTTTTTTAGCCTCGCAAGAAGTACCCCGCTCTTGCCACTAAAAAACCTTCAATAACACTGTAGTAGAGTGCCTCAGAGAGTTTCCTAAAATTAAGCAGAGGGGCTCTGGCACTGCGATTGTTCAGCAACCATGGCACTTATGGTGGGGTGGCTAGAATTAGGAGAAGTGAAAACCGGCCGCTCCAAGCTGGCCCCATTCGCGATCCTGCAGCGGTGGTGCAGTAGACGGAGGCGCTGCTAGCTCTCTCGGTGCACCGCTCGGGCATCAGCAGGATTCTTTCTTTGGGGGGAGGGGGTAAAGCTGCACTGCATCGTGACTGGGGGAGGGGAGAAGCGCTCGTGTAACACCCTGTTGATGTGTGTGGCCTGGTGAGTTTGAGGGGGGAGGGGGCCAGAGCTCTTCATACATGCACCTCCCCCTCTGCCAAACCCCTTGCACTGGCGTCTGTCATTGCTATATTTTCACCGCTAAAAGAGCTTCTCGGTGATAACCAACTTTATGAATTCACGATGCACTTATGCCACACTAAATAATATTTAACGGCAAACCTTTAGGGCATTTAACAAGCCAGGCACAAATAGAGCGTCAATTTATGCGTGCTTGTTGGTGCGTACCGAGCCGTCGAAAAAACAGAGCTGATCTTGTCGCTTCTATGTGTCCAACGCTAGCTCTATTTACTTTTTTTTTCAGAAAAATAAGACATAACTCAACCCTCCACAATAAAACCATTCTTCGGTGAAGCGTTATTTCGAATGAGCCACTGTTACCATGTTTGGTGAAGGCAATATTGTCTTCAATTTCATAATAATTATTCACAGCATTACGGAGCAAAAAGAAAGCTTCTTCAAGTGGGACATAACATGATTTCAAAAGTTTTCTAGCATTCTAGCATTATCACGCGATATGCTTTGGTAAACTGTATGGCCTCTCATACTATTAAATGTACAGGGGGGATATCACATTTGGATGTGTCATTTACCTTCGTCATCCAATCCCGTCACGTAATACCAAATTTCGTACATGTGAAGCTATCGAAACGGCCGCGAGCGCACTATAGGCACCCCACAATGGTTACTGGCGCAGCGATTGGCCCAGCCATCAGCACCACGGTGTCGGTTCGGCGTAGTGGCGAGGCGGCCAACGAGCCATTTCTACCGTGCATGGCGTGAGTTTGTTGTGCTGTTTGAAGCATGTCGCTGGTTTTGTATTGCGCATTTAAGGCGATTGAAAACATCGATGCCCGTTTTCAACCACCGGCACTTGAAAAGGGACACGCACAGTACGACAACGACCATGTGTATGGTGTTAAAAAAGTGAACACCGACATTGAAGCGAAGTGCTTGTCACAGCAAAGCAGGCATGCTTACGACGTTGACCTACAAGTAAGCTGAAAAATAATTATCTAATTCCACTTAAGCGCAGAAATACAACCATATACATTTCTCGATCAGCTGTTACTTGTTTTATTACTAAAAGCTTGCCTAATATTTGCTGTGTTGAAAAAGTTAAGCGAGAACTGAATAAAGCAACGACACATGCCTTCGTTGAATCTCTTTGGGGTTATTTTTCTACGTATAACCAGTGACATGTGTCTCCGTCCGTCCATTTATATCTACTGTCCTACTTATAAGTGAACTTGCACCCCGGGTTAGACGGGCATTGCCACGCTCATGTTGGCAGCCCGCTCACAATACATCGCGTGTTGCTGTACCAGCAAGTGTCCTGCCTGAAGATCACCTCACTTTTTCTGTTTTTGCGTTGTTTCTTTTTTTTTTTCATGCAAAGGTGTCGATCACGCCCCTAGAAATTCTCAGGAACAATTGTACGTGTCGTTACGGCGCCCTGAGCAACTGTAAACTCTGCGCAGCGGTGGCACTCTACGTAAACCTACACGAGGACGCTTCGTGCATGACCGGCTCGCAGACGTAGGGAAAGCTATCGAGGAAGCCCCAGCACGAGGACAAAGTGCCACGGCGAAAGCTTTTTGGAGGTAGAGTACTTACACTTGCTGTTATAAGAAATTTCTTTATAATGTTTGGTCATTTTAAGGTAGTTTGTTTTGTACGTGCTCAGAATTTTTATATGTCTGCAGTCTACACATGAGGAGAAATATCTAAAACCTTTCACTAGTGCATAACTGCACGCCAAAATTCCTATTTTTATAACAGTAATTGCATGTTTATGAACTCAGTGACATGCTCAGAAGTTTATTCTGTTTTTATGAATATGAAAAATTCTCAAAGCCGGGATGCAGATGACGTCCAGATAAAGCCGGAGAAATACGTCCTTGATATATTAACCCCAATACTTACAGACATCTTGAACCTCTGCCTTAATTCAGGCGTTTTTCCCACCGAAATGCAAATGGCAAAAGTGTCCGCCCTCTTTAAAAAGGGAGACAGGAGATGTGCGTCAAACTATCGACCCGTGTCAATATTGCCGGTATTTTCTAAAGGGCTTGAAAAAATAATTCAGATTCGGATGTCATCATTTTGTAAAACTCATAAATTAGTTTCTGACGATCAATACGACTTTGTAAGACACAAATCTACGGAATTAGCACTACTTCAACAAAAAGAATACGCATTACGCTCCTTTGAAGAAAAGAAAGTTGTTCTAGGCGTGTTCATAGATTTTTCTCAGGCATTCGATTGCATGAATCACAACATACTTTCATCGAAACTTGATAGGTATGGCTTCCGCGGTTGTGTTCACTCTTTACTCGCCTCTTACTTAGCCAGTCGCACACAGTATGTTTGTATTGATACCCACAAATCATCTGTTAAGCGTATAATAGCTGGAGTTCCACAGGGGAGTATATTAGGACCTTTGTTGTTTAATTTATATATTAATGATATTTTAAGCTTATGTCAACAAGCTAAGTGCATTTTGTATGCCGATGATATGACCATACTTTTTTCGTTGGACTAGTCTGACCAGATCGGAAGGGAAACTAACGCTGTCTTGCAGTCTATTCAATGCTGGTCAATTACTAATCGATTAAAAATAAACGCAAACAAGTCTAAAGCTATACTGTTTCGACCCCGAAATAAACAAATCATTCTTCCGCAGTATGTTAAATTTGGTTCTGACTCAATAGAAACATGGAATGCCTGAAGGTATTAGTAGTGCACTTCAGTAGTCACCTTACTTGGGATGACCACGCTAATTCTGTAATGATAAAATTGTCTCGCATTGCAGGAATTCTTAGCAAACACCGCCACTTAATTCCACTTAAAGTTAAGTTACTGCTTTATAAATCTTTGTTTGAATCTTATCTAAATTACGCTCACCTAGTTTGGGGAACTACTACGCTTGCTAATAAAAATAGACTCAATTTACTGCAAAAAAAAATCCTTGCGTTCCATTTGGAATTTGAGCTTCACGGTCCACACCGGTCATTTATTTCAGAAATACTGCATTACCAAAATTTTCGATCTTTATAATGTAAGATTAGCTCTTAGCTTCAAGAAAGAACTAGCGAAAAATTGCAAAAATTTATCTGAGCAGGCCTGCCTTTGCCCGAATGCGCCTGTATACACTTGCAGAAACACTGAACGATGGCACGTGCCCACCTTTCATACATCATACGGTCTGCAAACATTATCTAATACTTTGCCGCGCTTACTGAACAAACTGGAAGCAAGAAACATAGATATGACGCGTACTTCCAAAAAGGAAGTGCGTAGATTGATAGCGTCATCCTGGTAAGGTTTCTCTTTTTTTTCTTTTTTTTTTTTACGTCGCCCATTTTGTTATCGCCAAGTGTCTATCGATTCTGCCTTGCGGACCTTCGTTACAGACCTTCTTTTTACTCCTTTTCTTTGCTACTCAAATTTTTCGCGCCTTCAACAACAAACATTACTTTTTTTCCTGTGTGTACCGTTTTAATGCATTATGCATCCAATTTTTCGGGCTTTCAATTACTAGCCGTTGGTTTTCCTATGTGTAACATTTCAGTGCATATGCATCTCAGTGTGGGTGATACCCTGATTGGTGTAACCATATTTTTTTTTTTTTTTGAAGCGCTTATTCCTGTTCTGTTGTGTGCAGTAGCTCATATGTATACTTTTTATTATCAGTCTTTCTTTTACCGGTGCATCTTTTTTTTTTTTGTAAATTGACACTATTTGCACTTTTGTATGTTTCAGTATTGCCTCGTCGATTCTCTTTTTCTTGTCTGTAGCGTTCCCATGTTTTTCGAATACAATATCGTTTCTTTGTTTAGTTGTTAGCGTGCATATATTTTTTACTTGCATATTTTTGTTATCGCAATAGAATTGCGATACTTTGGTGTGTTGTGTCTATTACTGTAAATTTCTACAGCATGCATATCTGCCGTCTGCTCCTGACGTTTGAATTGGGCTGACAGGCCTGTCAAGCTGCTTGTATGCAGCTTTTGTCGTCAGCCTTTCAATGTATTCACGATAAATAAATAAAGAATACCTCAAAAAAAAATGTTCATTACTACTTACACAGTATATAGGCCTTTTTCGTCTAGAAAATTGCAATTAAACAATGCCTTAAATTTTTTTTCGCTTAAACGAAAGGCTGGTCACTTATGAAGCAAGCTCTCATCATTTTTACTATGCGATCGAGATGAAAAACAAAGCAGTCTTTTTCCTTCTGCTTCTCTCTAAATCTACTCCTGCACAAATTCAAAAACAGTCTTCCTGTGTATCATTGTCATGCCCTGTGCTGTTTCCTGACCCCATGTTTGCAGACAACAACAGTCCCTTTGTGGGAAATAAGCAGCCTACAGAACAACCACCATCATACATCATCAAGCACTTTGGGGGCATTGAATTTCTTTTGACTGCGGATATTAAGGAGATGGCGAGGAGTGAGGAGAAAATTAGGCATGATAAAACTATTTGTGGCCTTTCTGAAGAGACCAGGAGATCACTGCTGCGTGAGAAGCTCAGCGCCCTGATTCCGCTGCCTCACAAACCCCTTCACATGTTGGAACTGTCGGGTACTTTCCCCAAGCTAACCATGGCCCCACGAGACCACCTGAATGACCGTACTCCAGAGGGAAGAGCTTTCTACAGAACTTCGGTGGGATGCGAGTCGGTTCAGGAGCTCTGCATTCTCACTACTGGCCAGTCAAGTTGTCCGAGGTAACAACGGTTCTGAAACCATGGCATAGGTGTACTGCTGACGTCGTTGTTTTTATTATGTTTATATTGTCTATGTATCTATGGATATGGTACAAGGAACGAAAAGTGCGAATCAGCAGCACTGGAGCACATACCATCTTACACACACGCAGAGGCCCCAAACATGTACTGCACAGCATTCTGAAGTCCAGTTTTTTTTTTTTTTTTCGTCTGAGGCTACGATATATGATAAGTCTCAAGATTCGTGGATCTAAGCAGTATGAATTACTTATGTGTTTCATAGGAATATGTATGGAGCCGGTGGCTAGGAAGAACTTTGAGCAGCAGCATGGTGTGACAGTGACAGGGGTAAGCAGTTCACTTATGTTCCATTTTGAGTGCTCTGTAAAGCCTACCTTGCAATACGAAAAAAATCTCAACAGAAAAGTTGAGTCATTCTGTGACAAGTGTCCCAGCCTTGGTGCATGCATATCACACATTTTCCTGTTAACATTTGTCCCTTTTTATTTTGCCACATTGAGTATTATGACAAAATATATCTGTTCAAAAAATATTTTCATGACTGTGTCACCCTCTCAAAGTTCACTTTATTTTACTAACCTGTTCACAATGAGAAAATGTAGAAATGAATTTTTTGTATTGAGCTTTGAAACTGTGCTTGTTCTTCTACAGAGGTTCTATTTAGTTGTCCAATTGAATCATTCCAATTTTTTTTGTGCCTAAGTGCCAGTTCTGCATTTTCTAAAACAATGGAAATCTTTAAGTTCATGATTGAGTGAAATTCAACATTTAAGGTGGGCCTGTTTCTTGATCCAAGCAGTCATGGCTTTGTGGATGCCCCAGCGGGATCTTTTCCCTCTCCGGCGAGACGTGTTTGCTGGAGATCAAGTGCCCGTACCAGTGCAAGGATAAAGAGATTTTTGATGATTTGGGGAACAGCATTGTGGAATATGTGCATCATATTTATGGAAATGCCACACTAAAGAAGTCACACAGGTATTACACGCAGGTCCAGATTTTGATGTACCTGATAAATGCAAACTCTGCTATTTTTTTTATATTCGGGCAAACAAAGCGTGAGCATCCCTGTTGTTACGGATGATGCCTTTTTGCAAAAAGCTATACAACACTTGAGCAATTTTACTTTGAATGGATTTTGCCTGAACTTTTGAAGCGGCAAAGCTTGTAATAAACCTCTACCGGGATACATCACAGCGTGATGTCGCCGGTGCACGTGCAAGGCGGCAGTTGGCAAAACACTCCCGCCGATGGCTAAGTTGGGTGCAGTCGCTTTGTGCTTGGGGCGCGTGTAAAAATTGATGCACACATAATCATTGTTCACAGCATGAGAATTCAGCGACTACCTGTTGAACCTCGAAAGCTGTTGAGCAGGAGCTATTGGCCGCCTCTTGTAGACAAGAGGAAATATTGTAGGAAGGTAACCAGGATGATGCTCGATGGAGCTTTTTTTGCTGTTGACGAAATGCCTCGAGCATATCCTGGTATTCTCGTTCGATTGCCAAGATGAGAGGTCATCGGCACTAAAACATTGAATTGAGAGCAATCAGCTGGCACTCAATAACGCGAAAACAAAACGTGCGCAAGTGTGTGTGAGCGAAACGCAAACATACGAATACACGACAAGTGCTGAAGCAATCAGCTGACAATGACAGAAAAACTAAAAAAAGTGTGCCCCAGAGAAGCGGTAATTTGTTAATACTCCACGTATTACGCGGTGCACTCCAGCCTTATTTCTGTCGTACTGAGCGTGAGAAAGCGTCGCCATTAATGAGCCCATTCCAGCAGTCTATACTCCGTTTCATACATCATGTGCAACGCTGTCAAAGCTAGCGCTCTTGTTTGCGCTGTGTACTGCCGCGACCCAAAAGTAGTGCGTCGCTTGGGGTGTACGAGAATCAATAAATGCTTCTCGGGAAACTTCTAAGCATATATATTTGTCATCAGGTTAAAAAACAAACGCCTGTGTTGTCGGATAAACAATCCAAATATGCGAGTTGGTAATTTATGTTTGTCGCTTTCGTATCAGGTTTTCGCTCTCCGCGCGACCCGCGCCGCCGTTTTTTTTTTTTTTACTTGTTGTGGCAGCTTCGAAAAAATGGCGTCCAGCTCTGCGTTCTCGACCACCTCTCATTTTACAGGCAGTACTCGCTCACATCAACGAGGTAAACCGACAATGCGGTATAATCGCGACAAAATCGCCATGCTTGTCAAACCTCGGTGCCAGCTCAGAAGGTTCCGGCCCTCACAAGGGAACACGGTATGCTACAAATGAATAGATACGTGCAGTTCACTTCCGCGTGCAAGTAAGTTGAAGTTACTGAAAAAAAAACAACAAGATTTCGAATTGAACTCGCAAAAATTATTTTAAAAAATGGCACCACGTGGATTCGAACCCATGCACTTCAAAACTACGGTGAACTCTCCGGAGCGACGCGTCAGACCACTCGGCTACGAAACCGCGCGGAGCAACACCTCGTGTTTTCTTTACGGACTACTTGCCTAGCCTTCACAGCGTTGCACCTGATGTATGAAACGAAGTATAGTCATCAGCCTGGTGCACAAAGGAGCGGCAAGGCACGTTGACAAATTGATGTGTGAAAAAGTGCGCCGTGCGTCCAAGCTCTTATGACATTAGGTTTCACGAGTGACAACCACTGTGTGTGTTTTAACACACACTTGTGAGCAGTTGTAACATTGTCGTGCATTGCACAAATGCTTCCTGTTATTGTTTTTGCTCTGATGTTGTTCAACGAAAATTCGCAAGGGCGACACTTACTTGACGCGCGAAACAGCGGCGATCCACTTCTGCCGCCGAGCTGCTTCCCACGGTCTCGATGGGAAGCGATACATTATGACGCCGACATCCCCTTTTTTATTGTGGCAATTTCTAACACAGCAGTATCTGCGTTTGTTCTTAGTTTTTTCCACCTATGACGACGGAGTTGTCAGGGTTGCAGTATATCCATTCCGTTTGTTCGCAATAGACACAATGGTGGAATGGCGTGAAGGGCTGCCTCGTGGTTTCTTAACACCGCTGCTAGGCGGCGCAACGTGTATAAGCAAACTGCATTGCCGGATGCCTATGAGAATAGCATTTAGTCGTGTTTTACATTACATGCATGTCATGATTATCATGTTTGGATGTGTCATTTATCTTCGTCGTCTGTTCACATCACTCATTACCAAATATGGTATATGTGAAGATAGCGAAACGATTGTAAGCGCACCATGAGCATATGGCGTGTAATCATGTGTTACATGACATGCATGTGATGATTTCCACATTAGGGTCTGTCAGTTATGTTCGCGATGCAGTCGTGTCATACCATAACACTTTTGCAATATGTCATGTGAACAAAACCAACGCAAGAGCACCAAGACCATGACATGTGAATCATGATATTCATGACATACATTTCCTCATTTTCATATTGTCACGAGCAAAACAAGACCTGCAGCCAGGAGTTCACTTGAACCAGAGCAACGAAGATGTTCTCTTCTTCTTGGCAGCCCAAAAACGCGTATGAGCCACAGTGGCTTGTTCATCAATGGTGGCATTGCCCCCTCTCCCAAGAAGCATGGTCTCGATGCTGTAAATGAAGGCAAAAAAAGAAAAGAAAATTAGATGAAAATTAGCCTGCAAGCAAAATGAATGGCGTAAGGTGGAATAACGTAATTCGTTGTGGGGACAAAGATTAAATTAGAAATAAGAAAAATAGAAAAAATGTAAGGAAAAGGCGAAACAAACAGAAAGACGCGAAGTTACCAATAAAGTCAGTCACTCACTGGCGATTCACAGCGCGAAAAGTATGGTTTGAGACGTGAAACGTGAATGACTTCAGTTTGCGGGATGAAACGGGAACGTCTCGAATTGCCTTGTGGGAGAACCTCGTAAGTGACGTCGCTCAGACGTCGTACAACCTCGTAAGGGCCGAAGTAGCGGCGAAGAAGCTTTTCTGAACGTCCACGCTGTCGGGTAGGGGTCCACACCCAGACTTCATCACCTGGCTTAAAAATAACTTCACCGTGGCGAAGATTGTAGCGGCGCGCGTCTGCGGTTTGGTGTCGTTGAATACGATGACGAGCAAGTTGATGGGCCTCTTCTGCGCACTACCCGAATTTGGCGGCATCCGTGCGGTATATTCCTAAGTTATCGGGCAGGAGCATGGCGTCGAGCATCGTCGTGACGTTACGACTGTGGACTAAGCGAAAAGGTGTGAAACCGGTGCTTTCTTGAACAGCAGTGTTATATGCAAAAGTTACGTAGGGAAGTATGGCGTCCCAGTTCTTGTGATCGATGTCCACATACATTGACAGCATGTCTGGAATTGTCTTATTGAGTCATTCAGTCAGCCCATTTGCTTGCGGGTGGTAAGCCGTTGTTTTACGACGTTCCGTGCCACTTAATCGCAAGACTTCCTGCAGCCTCTCTGCGGTGAAAGCTGTCCCACGATCAGTTATAACGACAGCTGGAGCACCGTGACTTAAGACGATGCTGTTAACGAAAAATTGGGCGACATCTGCTGCGGTGGTTTTTGGAAGTGCCTTGGTTTCACAGTAGCGTGTTAAGTAGTCTGTAGCGACCACAATCCACCGGTTTCCAGACGAAGACGTGGGGAATGACCCCAGCAAGTCCATGCCAATCTGATGAAAGGGCGCCTTTGGTGGGCCAATTGGGTGCAGTAGTCCCGGTGGTCGTAAAGGTGGAATCGTACGTCGCTGACCGTCGCGACATGTGCGAACGTAGTGCTTCACAGTCTTTGCGAGACGTGGCCATTAGTAGGAGCGTTGAATCCGTTGCAGCGTGTGCGTATAGCCGAGGTGTCCGGACGATGGCTCATCATGACACGCACGTAAAATGTCACCACAAAGCGTAGTTGGCGCAACAAGCAGATACATAGCTTGTGTAGGATGAAAGTTCTTTTTGTAAAGCACTCCATCGCGGAAACAAAAGGAAGATAGCGAGCGTGCAGAGCTTCGAAAAGGATGGGAATTGCGTCCTTCCAGGTAGTCAATGAGCGGAGTGAGCTCCGAGTCGTGACGCTGTTGCTCAGCCAAACGGGTTGCTGATACGGCAGAAAGAAAAGTGCCGTCGTTTTCAAGGTCAGTGTTGGCATTTTCGACCGGTGCACGTGAGAGACAGTCGGCGTAGGAGTGTTTCCGCACAGATTTGTGGACGATGGTGACATCGAAATCTTGTAGCTGAAGGCTCCATCGTGCTAGACGACCTGAGGGATCTTTGAGATTCGCGAGCCAACAAAGGGAATGGTGGTCGCTAACTACACTGAATGGGCAGGCATACAAGTATGGGCGGAACTTTGTTATGG